CACTCTACCCAGGGGGACAGCTTGAGGTTCTGTCTCAAAAAAAAAAAAAAAAATTGTCTATCGTATTATTTATGAGACGGAGTCTCACTTTGTCACCCTCTGTAGAGTGCTATGGCTTCACAGCTCACAGCAACCTCCAACTCTTGGACTCAAGCTATTCTCTTGCCTCAGCCTCCCAAGTAACTGGGACTACAAATGTCCATCACAATGCCCGACTATTTTTAGAGACAGGGTCTGGCTTTTGCTCAGGCTGGTCTCAAACCCGTGAGCTCAGACAACCTACCTGTCTTAGCCTATCAGAGTGCTGGGATTACAGGCGTGAGCCACCTCTGCTGGCCCATGAGATTCTTCTAGAAGCAACAATACATACTTTTTCCATGACAACCTACAGAGTAGATGAGCAACCTTCTGGGGATTCACTGAGCTTTTGTGGTGTGCCAGGCTTAGTTACTAGCACATGAGTTTCTGCCCTTGAGAAAACATTTATTATTGACAGTACCTTCTACAAGCAGTTTTCATAATACAGGATTTTGCTTCCAAGTGGTCTGTTAATTCTTGCCGTAACTAAAAACTAAGTGTGGTGGGAGGATTGCATTTCCTTTCCTTTAGGTCTTCTCAGAACTAATGTTGGTTTTCAGAGATTTTTCAAGTTTTTGACTAGTTTCTCTTCCAGACTCTGAAGAAGCTGTGGAGACCACACCAGCCAAAGGAAAGAAAGCTCCTGCAAAAGTTGTTCCTGTGAAAGCTAAGAGTGTGGCTGAGGAGGAAGACGAAGAAAATGATGATGAGGATAAAGAAGATGATAAAGAGGAGGGGGAGGAAGAGGAGGAAGGTAATTGGATTCTGAAGTACATTCACCTGACTTATGTTTAAAAGAGGTATTTAAGGATATGTGGCTATTCATGGTGACACGTTGTTTGAAATCTTGTCCAGAGCCTGTCAAAGAAGCACCTGGAAAACGAAAGAAGGAAATGATGAAACGGAAAGCAGCTCCTGAAGCCAAGAAACAGAAAGTGGAAGGTAACTTTCAGAATTAGGGGATGTGAAGGAAGATAAAGTCAAATTGGCACAAATGATGAATGACAAGGGACTTAATACTGAAACCTGATGTTACATTACAATGTGCTGATGTGCTTGTGCAGAGAAATTTTGTACTAGAAATTTTGTGCTGTGCTCTACAAATGGATTAATAGAGCTCAATATTTTGTATATAGGAACAGAACCAACTACATCTTTCAATCTGTTTATTGGAAACCTGAATTCTAACAAATCTGCTCCCGAATTAAAAACTGGTATAAGTGATGTTTTTGCTAAAAACGATCTTGCTGTTGTGGATGTCAGGATTGGTATGACTCGGTAAGTGCTTCACTACATCTGATATACTTTCCTCCCAGGTTAGAATGTTATCTTAGCTTGCTGCCCTTAAACATGATCATCTAAACATCTTAGAGGATTAAATAAGTCTTTAAATTAG